ATATTCTAATTAGATTAAATATTATATATACCTATTATATATTTTTAACTTATTCCAAATCTAGATAAGCTTTGGCTACTCTAGTAGATTTATACTGCGGATAAGTTTCTAGATCTACTTAAGTTATTAGATTCTTCTAATTATATATCTAAGTTCTTATTCTTAATACTATATTTAAAATATAAAACCTTTTCCAATTATATAAAAAGTTTTATTAAGTTTAATAAAGATAAAAGTAAGATTTTATTTTAAATATTAAAAAAAAAACAAAAAAAAAAACAAAAAAAAATAGCTAGTTAAAATAAACTTTACTATTTCAAAAATAGCAAAATAGAATTTAATACTTCAAAATATAAGACTAATAATATCTTTAAAAGCTATTAAAAAATACTTTATTAGAATAATACAAAAAAAACTAAGTGAAGTTTTAAACAAAAACAAGATACTTAAATGTTTAAACTTTGCAGAACTACAAGAAAATTGTATACAAGAACTTATTCATATTATTAATAGCTTAATAGAGAAGATAAAAGAAAAAAACAAAGAACTCTGAATAGCTTTTCTTAATATCAAAAAAGTTTTAATAATATAAACCTATCTAGACTAGAAGTAGTTTTAAAAAGGATTTGCATATTAGAACAACTTTTAAATCTTCTTTGCAACTTTTTTTTAAAAAAAAATTTAAAATAATAGCAAAGTTTGGTCTTATAAAAAGTCTTATAGCTACAAAAAAAATAGACTAAAAGAAAGTTATATCTCTACTATTATAGAAAATATACTTTAATCTTCTTCTCTACAAATTATATCAAACTAGACCAGATATACTAATTAGTGTTAACTAGTCTATAGATATAGTATTAATCAAAATAAAAAATAGTTATTATAAGTATTGTATATATAGATAATACTACCTTAGTAGCTTATTTTAAAACAGCCTTCAACAAATGCTAAATTTAGCAAAACAATTTTTTAGTATTAATAGGATTGAACTAAATATAAAAAAAACAAAGCTTATCTTATATCTTTTTACTTTTTAAAAATTACAGAAATAGAATTATTTATATATATAGATATTCTTGTAGCTTTGCTAACTAGCTATATTTTAACTTTAATACTATAAATAGGGGGTTGAGTCAATAGAAACCAAGCAAATATTTTTAATAAGTTTTTTTTTAAAAATTTTAAACAAGAATAACTTAACAAAAACTTGATCAAATTCAATAAAATTTTTTTAAATTAATTCTACAAGTTTATAAGAATTATTTAAAAAAAATTTTATTAAATTTGGTCAAGTTTTTGTCTAGTTATTCTTGTTTAAAGTTATAAAAAATTTTTATTATAAAAAATTTGCTTGATTTCTATTGACTCACCCCCAAATGCTCTTTACTAGGACAGGCTTTTTTAAATACAATATTTAATCTACTATATAGATTAAATATAGTACACCTACTAATATATCTTAACTATCCAAATCTAAATGAGTTTTAACCACTCTAGTAGGTTTAGGTTATAAATAAATTAGTCTAAGCTTCTATTCTTGCATGTAATTTATATTTATTTGTTTGTATACAAATTGTTTTTATATAGCTTCTATGTAATTACTTATATAAATTATTTAATAAAGATATAAACAAAATCTCATTTTAAAACTAAAAAAAAAGCAAAAAAAACAAAGCAAGTTATGCTAAATATTAAGAATAAAACAAAACTCGGAAAATTTTTTTTAAATAGAGAAAGAACAAAGATAATAGCAAAAAAGAAAAAAAATTCACTAAATATTTGGGCATTTGGGTAGTAGCAAAAAGTGCTAGAAAAGTTTGCAAAAATAAATTAACAATAAAGCTAGCAAATTTAATTAAAAAAAAAAAAATTTATTAAACAAGCTAAATATATTAATAACAAAATACTACTTACTATATATATAAGATTTAAATATAGATTAAATATCTGGGTTTTCTTTAGAAGAAAGTATAATAAAATACAAAGCCAAATAATAAGAGTTGTAAAATAAAAAGCTAATTTTGAATATAGAAAATCTTTAGAAAAAAGAAACCTTAAAACAAAGATAATAAATCTTATACTATAATTCTGGCTAGATAGATAGAAGATACTTTTTTAAGAAAAAATATAGCAATCAAGATATAATAAAATTAACAACTAAGTAAAAAAAATAAAAATTACTTCAAATAAAAAAAAAAAAAACTAAACCAGAAAAAAAGTTAAAAGCTCTAAAAGAAAAAAACAAAAGATTGTATTTCTGATATAAAAAGAATCAAAAAAAAATAAAATAAGATAATTATTTAAATTTGATTATAAAAAAATAGATAATTAAATAGAAATAGATATTAGTAGTTGGTGATACAAAAATTAAAAGATTATAACAGGCTGCAAAACCTAGTTGATAAATTATCTTATTAAAACAAAAAATGTCAAATTGGGTAATAAGATAAATTTTACTTTGCAAATTGCACACAAGTACCTTTGGTAACTAGATAAGCTATATTTTAATTATAAGATATATAGTATTAGAAATAGTATATATTAGTATTTGTATATGTAATTATTATTCTCTAAATAAAATATAGTATAATTGCTAAAAAAAAAAAATTAATATTATATTAAAATTAAAGTTTAAAGGATTATTTTTTATATTTATATATTATTAAAATTTTAAAATTTAAAAATTTATAGATTTTTTTATTTTTTTTAGCCTAAAATAGATATTATTTTCTATATAAATTATATAGTAAACTAGGTTAAATTAGAGTTTTATTTTTTGTTATAACTTTTTTTTGTACATAATAATTTTGTTTAAAATTTTGCAAACTTTTTTAATAGTTACACAAAAACACTTGCATAGTAGTACAAAAATACTTAATTTTAAATAGTTAAACTTCAAAAATAAGCAATTTTTTAATTTTTTAATTTTAAAAATTAAATAAATTTAAAGATTTTTAAAAAAATTAAATCAATAAATTATATAATTTTTTTTTACAGATATATTGTCTAAATACCCAAATAATATATATATTTAATTGCTAGTTAATAGAAAAATTAGTACTTTACTATATACTAACTTTAATCTATTTAATTTTTTCACCAAAATAAATCTGAAGACCAATACTATTTCTAATATTTATAGATAATTAGCAATTAAAGGGTACAAAACAAAAATCTAATCAAGTACTTCACAAATAAGCAAAAAAGAATTGAAAAATTACAAAAAAATAAAGAGATTGATTTAACTAATGATGAAGTTACTGTAAATAAAGACAATTCTAAAGAAATGTCATAATTAGAAAAAAATTGGAGTATGAAGAACAATTATTACAATTTGAAGAAAGAAAAGAAAGATTAAGAGAATTATGCATCTCTAATTTAATTAAAGAGTGTAAATATGGCTTAGAACACTAGTTAGATGTGCTTATCTAATTAGTGTTACAGTAGTATTTGATTTATTAATTTGTTTAAAAGAAACAATTATATTGCATTATCAAATTATTTGTAAAAAAAAAAAAAAAAAAACTTCTATAAAATAAAGTTATTAACATAGCTAATATATCATGCTTATACGTATCTTGTACGTATGATTTTTATTTTCGTAACCATACGCAACATACAATTTTTTATTTTTGTTACCATACTCAACTACTTTTGTGTTTCCGACTATACTCATTTTAGTAATACCTAATTTATTTTATTTATTTATTGGATTGATTTTTTTTCTGATTTATTTATTTATTTTCATTTATTTATTATTTTTATTATTATTATTATTTTATTTAAATATACGTATGTTTCGTTTTTTCTTATTTAAATATATGGTTCGTTTTTTTTTATTTAAACTATGGCCACCTTAAAATTATTTGTGTTTTGAAATTGACATGGCATGAATGTCGCTAAGGAAAAACCTACCATTGGTTTTTCAATCTATCTAATTTGTTAGAGATTGTTTCTGTTACAAAATGGAATTGAAAACCCGATAGAATGTCTTCCTTTAGAATCGAGTGATTAATTGAAATGATCCTTACGACAATTTTGTTGAAATTTATATTACGGAATGCAGGTATCAAATGTTAGCCAGCAGCACAACTTTATGATAAAAAAAAAAAATGGTTTCGACCATCTTTTTTTTCTCGCATTAATGAATTCACTTGACAGGCTAAACTATATAATTAAATATTCAAGTCCCTTGCTTGAAGTTAATCCAGGTGATAAAAGATTTTAAATATTTGTATGTGCATATATGTTTAAGATAAGGGCGTTATTCTTCGCTTTGTATGCATGATGGTAGACTGGTCAAGACATACGAAATAACCGGTTCCAAATCTTAATTAAGCTTTGCATGCATAAACTCTTTCGATTCAATCGATATGAACTAATACCCAACCAATTTGTCGCATCACCCGATTGTAGTATGATGACCTAATGACCCAGATGACGATGACTTTGGTCATTTATAAATGATCTAGGTCATTTGGTCACGATTCATTTTTAAATGATTTGAAAATTAGATGACCAAAATGACCGGTCATTTTGGAGTCATTTCAGGTTATTTGCCTATTTTGCAAATGAGATAGTGTTAATTACTGTAGAGGGATCTTTCTACCAAAACAGTCGCTAATTATCATTTATCATGTGATATTATAATAAATTATATACTAATAAAATGATGTTGCATTGATAGGGTCATATGGCCATTATGTATCATCTTAATAAAAATTATAAAATAATAAAAAAATTTTCATTTTCTTAAAATATGGGGGGTTGGCGCAATGGCAGCGCGTCCGCCTCCAGAGCGGAAGGCTGGGTGTTCGAGTCACTCACTCCCCAACTCACTTGTTTAAAGAACATTATTCTTTTTTTGGAGGGAGTTGTACAGCATTTTAAAAATTTACTATTACTTTTTTGGAAGATTGATAGACATTGTGCACGTGTAACAATAGATAATAATTCGATACAAATTCGATCTAACTCTAAAATCTTAGATGTTGTGCGTGATGTCAATTTTATCAATTATTTTACCTAGACGCAAAGTTTTTCATAATTTACATTATCGTTTCTTAACTTTGAAACCCAAACCTTTATCTTTCATAACTTTAACCTTACTATTAGCATCACAGATTAATCCTCGGTTATTTTCATCGTCTGCTTTTGCTTGTACAGCACCTAGCTCGATATTAATGTCGCAACATGAACAGTGCAGTTTTGTTAGAGGTACGACGGAACGAATAGTTTATGTTACTTGTCCTAATGACAAGGTCGCCGGGAATTTGGCCCGAGGTATTTTCATAATGAAAAAATTATTTAACGTTATTCAAAAAAAAAAAAGGAAAAAGATGTTTAATTTCAACCTTTCAAAGGTCTTTTAAAAGAAAAACTGGTCGCCTGTGTGAATATAATTCCAAAGATCTCTTCACTTTATTGTGAGTATCATAATTTAAAACTTTTTATATTTTATTTTTTTCTTATATTGTGTCATTCCTACATGTTTATAATTAGGGTGGGAAGGCAAAATTGAAGAATCTTCCGAACTCTTGCTCATGATTAAAACTTTGGATAAGGTCTCATTATTTATTTATTAAATTCTAAATATCGTCTATTACAGTATTAACATTTTATCTAACACCTGGTTTGCTTTAGCATCTTGATGAAATAACAGATTATGTAAATAAACATCACAGTTACGATGTACCAGAAGTTCTTTCAGTAAAGGTAACTTATTTAAAGAAAAAAATAATATTTTTAATTGTGAAAATGCTGAGCTTTACAACTTTGAACATTAACAGGTTGATGGTGGAAATGGCCCTTATTTGAAATGGATTAATGATAGTGTTAAGTGATAAGTTCAAAAAATTTCAAACGCTTTAATACTTTAATAGATATTAAATTTTTTATGCAATTGTCGCGTCAATAAAATAAAAACGAACAAATGCTTAATTCATATTGAGTATATTATTTTACGATATATTGTGATGTGTTTATAAAAATTAATACGTATTTTTCAAACAGACAATGCCTAGAAAATTTATAAATCACAAACCATTCTAGTTAGCGTTAACGTTTATAAAAAGATACAGTAATTTTATTATAACAACTGTATCTGATTATATTGACATTTTTGGTATGAAAATGTCTCTGGTCAAACTGACGCCCGATTATATTTTTTGAAAGAGTGTGGTGTCGATATGACAGTATGACCAACGTTACGTGTAGCCATTTCTGTATTTTGTGACTCGTGGTCATGTGTAGATTATCCGTTTTTTTTTTTTTTTTACATGCAACTTGGGTACACGTATGTATGTATTCCCAATATATATTGAATTAGTTTACGTTAAAATTTTTTTCAGTTTTTTAACCTCAAATTAACTTTGAATATATATTTTTTTAATAATGCCTAATAAACAAACAACAAACCCATCAGAATGTCCTATGCATAAAAAAAATTCACAAACGTTTGATCCATCTTCAGAAAAATCCAAATGTCCCAATTCATCTGAATCAAATTCTGAAAAAACTTGCCCGATAGTTCATTCAGGAGATGCACTTTCTCCAGATAATCAAATGCCTAAACTTAGTCAACTTCCAATGCCAGGTCAAAAAATTCCACTTTCAACATCAAGAGTTATTTCTTCTATTCCTAAAGCAAGTAGTTCTGATAATTGGGAATATCCTTCTCCACAACAATTTTATAATGCGCTAGTTCGTAAAGGATGGGATACTCCTGAAGAAAGTGTTGAAACTATGGTAAATATACATAATTTTTTAAATGAGGAAGCTTGGAATGAAATTCTTAAATGGGAACGAATGAGAGAATGGTATGTAAATTATTATGGTTTGAAAATTATTAAAATTTATTCATTGATTTAACGTTAAGACAAAATTTATTATACAAATAATTTTCAAATAATTAAATATTTTTAAAAAAAATTGGTTCTTTATATAAAGTAAATTTTTATGCCGATTTATGACTATTTAACTGAGTGTTTATTCAATCTTTTAATATTTCGCTTATACGTTTTTTTTTTTAAAGCCCGTGTGATGGACCAAAGTTATTACGTTTTCGAGGACGCCCTCAAGAACTTAGTCCAAAAGCTCGATTGCTTCAATGGACGAGAAAATTATTTCCTTCATTAGGGTAAATAAACGAATTCTCAACAATATTGACATTGTTACATTTCGACATTATCAAAATTATTGACATTTCGATTTTTCTTTTCGCTAGCACACCACCACCATTTGATCGTCACGACTGGACAATCGACCGATGTGGTAAAGAAGTTCGATATATTATTGATTATTATTCAGGTCCTGACGAAGGTGAAACGCCAGTATTTTACCTTGATGTACGACCAGCTTTAGATTCTGTCGACAGTATTGTCGATCGAATTAAAGCTGCTACCAGTGAAACTTTTAAACAATTCAGAGAGCGAGCTAAATAATTAAAAATTAATTACTGTACTTCTTAAATTTACTGTATCGTGTAAAATTTTTAATTAAAATAAACATACCTACTTTAAGTCATACTGCTATACAAAACAAAATAAATATTTTTGTTTTTGTAAGCGTATGTAAATTTATTGATTATTTAACAACAGCAACATTTATTATTAATTAGCAAACTAGAACCTATTGTGGGAATAGCTTGAGTTACATATTGTATTATTATTAAGACAAATTCAGTATTGTATCAGTATTAATAAACAATGAAACATTTCAAATGTTCATGTCAAATGTTTTTAAATTACAAACTTGTAAATATAGGCTTCGGCAAAATTTTATTCTCTTAAGACAGAGTACCGAACAAAAACTTTATAAAATTTTTCTTGGCTGTGTCAGAAACGCTTATTTTCGTCCGTCAATGGTTTAGATTAATTTTTTTTTTTTTTTAGCGTTAGCAGAAAAATTCTGGAAGTGCATAAATGAGTGCTGCCAAGGCAAAACCTGTAAGCAAATATTTGAGGTATCAATAAGGCAAATTGTGATATTACGTATTAAATCATTATATTATAATGAATACGTAATATCACAATTTGCCTCAAATATTTGCTTACAGGTTTTGCTTTGACAGCACTCAAATAAAATACTTTCGCTTATTAATTTATTTTATTTTGCTTTTTTTTTATTGATGTTTTTTGATTTGCGGTTGTGCTAAGGTGGCGTGATCTAGTTTATCCAATTAAAACGGGATTTCATGCGTCCAATCTAGTGATGTATTTAAAAAATTACAACCCAGAATACGTCACGACATGTAATAATACCTGCCGTATTATTGCGGCGCATGTGGTGTAATGCCGTAGGGTAGGAAGACATTCGTATGATTGGCTGTTTAAATCAATTTAATTTTACATTATTTATACAGTTTAAATACTGATGCATAACGATAATTTATATTAACTATATATATTGTACAACCACAGTAAATCTAATAAATGTGGCAGATTAAAATGAAATCGAATTAAAATGAAATTTTTTTAGGAAAATTTAAAATTTTTGGGGGGACATTTTTTAGGGTTAGGTTTAGTGTTAGAGTTAGGGTTTAGAGTTAGTTTTATTAATAAAAGAGTATAAGTGGGTTTTATAAGCTTTAAAGATGA